CTTGTTTTGACTGATTAGACTCTGTTCCATTCTGTATGATAGTATCAAGTTTGAGGGTATAGGAAACTACTTTGAAGGCAATAAGATTCACTAAGATGCCCATTCTGGTTTGACTATTGTCTCCTTTGGAAGTCCTGTAATGTTTACAATGCCTAAGTTTTATTGGTCTTGTTCTCTACTGCTTTGTCCAACTTTATAATATCTAATGAGATAGACAATTCTTTTTAAGGAAACAAGAGACAACGTTGATAACCATTGTTGATAACCTTGTACTCTGTTTTACATCATGTGCTATGTCTATCCTTGGTTTTGACTGACAGCTTTGTTTAGGCATATTTGACTTTATTCTCTCCCCCCCAAAAAAGTAGTAAGAACTAAGGAGTAATAAAATCCAAAATGTGTAAATTTTGTTGTAAAAAATAGAGGGGAAAAAAAGAGCTCTAATGGATATAACAGCAAGTGTGTTTAGGGGTGTTAAATAGCTGACTATATTAATGTTTTCTGGATCATTGAACACAGCTGTTTGCAGTCTCTCTGTTTGAATGTCTACTTTGTATTCTTTGATACTGTGAGTTGAGCAACTATTTCCAAGATGATAATATGTAATCTATTAACAGGTGATTTCTTACTGTTTTTTTTTTAGTAGTTCTGTATTACGTGTACCGTTACACCACTTTGTTTTGTTTTGTGTTTTTTTCCTCTTAAATAAAATTTAAAAAAAAAATAAGCATCCTAAAGGAACACACACTTCTCAAATGAAGGAATACAAACAGCAAATAAATACATGAAAAAATGTTCAACCTCACTGGTCATTTGAGAAATGCTGATTTAAACAATGCTGAGATTCCACCTCACTCCAGAAAGAATGGCTGTCCCAACAAATCAACCAATAACAATGGTTGGAAGGGCTACGGGAAAAGAGGAAACCTCCATAGTTGGTGGGAGTGTAGACTGGTACAAGCACTTTGGAAATCAAGTGGAGATTCCTCAAAAAACTAAAAATACGGTTTCCATTCAACCCAGCTATCCTCCTTCTTTGTATCTTCCCAAAAGAATTAAAAGCATCATACCACAGTCACCTGTTTACACCCATGTTTACAACAGCACCATTAGCAATAGCTAAATCTTGGAAAGGCCCAAATGCCTGTCAATGATTGGATAAATATAATGTGAGTTTTAACAAAATATACAATAGAGTACTATTCAGCCATAAAGAAGGATAAACTTGAGACATTTATAAGTAAAGGATGCATCTAGGAACCATATTCTTAAGGGAAATAAATCAGACACACATGCATAAATATCACATTGTTTCTCCGGTGTGAGAAACCAAAAGTGTAAAGAAGGACCAAAATGTATAGTAGATACTATGAAATAGAAAAAAATTGTTTAAATGGGAAGGGGCACAGGAATGAGGGGAGAGGTAAAGGAGAAGAAAAATGAGAAAAGAAGAAAAATGGAAACAAAGCTTTTGTGAACAGCAGGGGAAGAAGGACTGAAAGGAGGGGAGGGAGATGAGAAAAAAAAGAATCAAGATATACCATGTATGGTACAGATCCCCTGTGATAAAGGTGATCATTGTGTATATATAAGATGTACTAATGAACTTCATTTAAAAACAGAAACAACCAATACTGTGAAGAAACAGCCTACAGAATAGGAAAAGAAATTTTTCCATATTCTCAGACCGAGGGCTAACATCTAGAATATATAAAGAACCAAAAAAATTAGACCACGTCAAAAATAAAAGACTCTGCCAAAAAAATGGCAACTGAAATGACAGATACTTCACAGAAGAGGTACAAATGGCCAGCATATACATGAAGAAACACTCAGCACCACTGGTCATTAGAGAAATGCAAATTAAAACAACGCTGCAGTTATATCTTACGCCAGAAAGAACGATCATCATCAAGAAACCCAATAGTAGTAGATGCTGGCCAGGCTTCTGGGAATATAAATTAGTATAAGCACTGCAGAAATCAGTAGCGAGATTCCTCAAAAAGGAAATACTCAGGGGGGCGTGGTGGCACACTCCTTGTAATCCCTGCACTCAGGAGGTTGAGGCAGGAGGATCGCTGTGAGTCTGAGGCCAGCCTGAGCTGCTTAGCGAGACCTTGTCTCAAAAAAGATTTTTTTGTGAAAACTACAAATTCAATTTGCCTCAGCTTGTAATAGCCTTCAGGTACCTTCCTGAAAGAGTGATGTGAACATATTTATGTTACAGCAGAAAGTTCACAGCAGCTAAGTCTTAGAAGCAGCCATGTGCTCCTCACTAGACGGACAGATAAAGAAGTGAGGTGTTTGTGCACACAGGAGCACCACTCTGCTGTAAGCAAGATCAGCTGGAGTCGTTTCTAGGAAAATGGATGACCTTGAGACCACAAAGCTAAGCGCAGTAAATGACACACAAGTTTAAATACTGCAGATTTCTCTTAAACAAGAAATCCAGATTGCAATAAAGAGCAACATAAAACATGGATAATAGAAAATGGGAAGACAGATCTCTCCCAAATGGGAAGTAGATGAAGAGGTGCAGGGAAGGGAGAGGCAGAGGAGGGAAGGGGTATGCAAACAGGAATCCACGCGTCATGTATGGGCACCATCTCCACACAAGGAGTGCAGACACTATGTACTTCAAACATGTGCTGGTCGTTTGGCGCCAGTGGCCACTGAAATCAGGGTCAGTGTGGGATACATCGCTGTGGGCTGGTGGAGAATGCAAAATGGGAGGTGATTTTTGTCACTATATTGGTAAATTTAAAAGAAAAAAATACAGGCTCTGAATTGCACATCTTTGATTCAAAATACACCAGAAGATGTGGGGAGTCTTTTGTAGCAGTTACAAGGATTACGATTTTATATATCCGTAGTGTTGACAGAAAATCAGAGTCAGAATCCTGGCTGCTGAATTCATCTTTTGCAATGCTTTATGTAAGAAAGGGCCACTGGATGGGGAAAAACAGTACCTTGAGAACTGATCGGTAATTGAGAGGAGTTACTTAACTGAAAATTTCTAACCCTCAAGCCCCACTGATAACCCATGGGCAGCAGAGTCTGTCATTCCCACTCTATACGAGGACTTCGAGGCTGTCTCTGTTCAAGAATCCATAATGACCTTAGCTGAGGGGTTGCACCGAAAGGGATATTAATCCTCATTTCCAGTCCCAACGCTTTTCAGCACCGGTAGGTTGAATACCAGATGGCAGTCAGATCAGACTGAATGTGATAGCCCACAAGAAAAAGACAAAACCCTAAAAATAGTCCAGCATTTGCGGATTTCTCAGCAACAGTGTGGGAAATGCACAAAATGAATTCTGAAGGTGCTGAGCACAGCAAGCAGAAGCAGCCCTGGCTCAGGTCTTGGCATCAGTGGGAATGTGCCTCCATGGACTCGCTTCTGTGGGCTACATGTGGCCAGTCATGGTACTGTTTGCCCATTTGGTTGTGCAAAGGTGGACTAAATGGTGACCTGCACTGAATGCAAATACCCGTAATAATTTTGTACAATGAAGAAAAGGAAATTCGCAGCCGTAGAACAGTAGGAGTACAGGATGAATTTGCAACGTGTGGTCTGCTCACCCAACCCTTAGCTATGTTTCCCACAGATACCAGAGGACGCGCCCCTCACCACTGCTGCACATGCCCAGACCCCTGAGTGAAGGGCAGCTCTTCCTTCTGCCTCATCCCAGCCACAGTGAACCCAGCTGATTTTTATATTTTATCTTTGGCTCTGCTGTCAAAGCTACTCTAGTCTCTCTCAGCCACTCCTGTGTCTTTCCTGGGCAATTACCCTTGTTTACCTGCTTCCTCTGCTATTGGCCGTCTTTATGCAACCTACCAGCAAAGCCAGGCTGACCCTCTGTTGGGTCTTTATTATAATAACCAGTTCTACTGTTCTCTGATACCACAGGATTTCCTGTAATTCAGTCCAGTTCTAACACTTAATGACCCAGCCTTAGCACAGACCCCAGGGTAATGGTCCAGGCCCACAAGACTACTTCTACTTCAGTGTCCAGTCTCCAGGGCACCTGCACTTCTGTACGGCCAGCTGCTAAAGTGTGAGGTCCTGTGACTCACTCTCCCCTCCTAAGTTTAGACAGCTGACTCAGAGAATTTAGAGCAGCTGTTCATCACAATGTAGTAGAAAGGGTAAATTTGAGGAACAGCAATGCACGGCACCGGACCTGGGGTGCAGGGCCTCCATGCCCTCTCCAGTGACTTCTCCCTGGCAGGTCCATGAGCTCGTCCAGCTGAACACTCCTCTGGCGGAGGCATCTCAGAACTCTAATGAAGGTCACACTAAGGAGGCTTCACTGAAGATCATTTCTAGCTACTTGGGGCATCCTGAGATTCCATGCAAGTTTTAGGATAGGATTTTTTACTTCTGTCAAAAAATGTATGTATCACTGGGATTTGGATAGGGATTGTGTTGATTCTATAGATTGCTTTGGTAGTGTTGGCATCTTAAAAACATTAAGTCTTTTCTATACAGGATGTCTTCCCATTTACTGTGGCTTTCATTTTCTGCAATGTTTTGTAGTTTTTAGTGCAGAAAATCTTTCTGCTCCCCAATTAGTTCGATACCCAAGTATTTTATTCTTCTTGACACTTAAGTAAATGGGATTTAAAATTTTTTCCTTTTCTTATTGTTCAACATTAATGTACAAAATTGCAAGTAGCTTTTGTGGGTTGGTTTTTGTATCTTGAAACTGTTGAATTTTAAGTTCGTTCTAAGAGGATTTGGTGTGGAATCTTTCAGATTTTCTTTTTTTACTTCTAAGATCAAATCATATGTGAACAGAGATAATTTTACTCCTTTCTTTCCCTTTTGGGGGATGCAGTTTTCCTTTTTCCTTGCCTAAGCCATGTTGGGTAGTGTTATGGATTAAAAACTGGTGGTCAGTTTAACTCCAGCTGAATTAAATCAGCATGGTGCTGAGTGTAGACGGTCCACCTGAGCAAAGTGGCCAGCACAAATAGAGATGCAGAGAAGAAGAGCGAGGTGTTGTGGGTTTCTCTAAGTGTTGCTGTTGAGCCATTGGTTCTCCTGGAGGAGCTCATCATGACGAGCTTCCCCAGTGTGAGTTCGACCGTGGTCACCAGAGAAGCTCAGGACCTTGTTGGTGAGAATGGCTGTGGTTCATTTTGGGGGAGCTCAGGTCCTTACATCGCTTCCTGGCTCTGGAGGGGAAGATGTGCTGGTTAATCTCCAGGAGAAACTTGTCACGTTGGCTTCCTGGCATGTACTCAACTGTTCTTATTGTCAGAGGAGCTCAGGACCTCTGTGATGCTGAGGATGGCTGTGGAACTTTTCAGACAGCCCTGGTTCTTATTTTGAGCATGACTTCTCCTCTCTAGTGTAGAACCCTCAACCTACCAGCACAGCTCCTTCACCCTGCTGGCATAGACTTTCTAGCTTCCACCACTGACCTTCGGGCCTTCCCAGCATAGATCCATAAAGCAGACTGGCATGAGTCCTTGTCATGGGCTCTGCACCACCAGTTGGACTCGTGGGAGGCATTGTCATGAGCTCTGGGTCTTCATCTGGACTCATGCAGGACATTGGTGTGGGATCCAGGCCCTCAGCTGAATATTCTGAGTCTTTAGTGTTGTGGACAGATTTCCTGCACTTTCTTGTGTTAAATTCTGGGTGACCATCATAAAATAATATAAATTCTGTGTCCTGATTCTAATTGTTCTCCTCACAACCCCTGCCTACAACAGGTAGAGTGGTGAAGACAGGCAGCTTGGCCCCTCCGACCTTAGCGGAAACCTTCAGCCTTTCATTCCCGAGTGCGTCTGGGCTTTCACATATGGCTCCTGACTCTATTATGTGCAGTATCTTCGTGTCTCTGTGTTTAAGCACCCTGCTGTGGAGGACATACAGTTGAGTCTTGCTGTTTTAATGTAGGTTCGTAGACTGTCTGTCATAATCAAACTATATGTAACATGATTATTAATGTTTGACTAATACCTGTGACGTGTGAAAGTATGTTCTACTCATTACCCTTTTGTTTTTTTCTTTGCCTTTTACTTTTTCTGCCTCCTATGGATTTAATTGAGCAGTTGTATGATTTTATTTGATCTACTCTAATATCAATTACCTTGTTTTTACATATTTTTAGTGGGTTCTCTAGATTTCACAAAAAAAATTATGACTAATGCAAGCCCACATTCCAATAACTGCTGTTTTGCAGGTGGGATGTCTTCTGAGTATTCTGTTTTCTCTCCCATCTCTTATAACCTTGCTGTCTTTGTCTTCACCTGTGTGTGAGCTGTAATCACTAACTGCATTTCTGCTATTATCATTTTGAACAAACTGTACTCAGATCAATTATAATTAAGAAAAATTGATTTTTATATTTTGTATTCATTATTCTCTTTTCTAGTGTCCTTACTCCTTATCTAGATCTAAACTTTTTCACATCTTTTTTCTTCTTTGTGAAAGTACTCCCTTTAGCCAGGAATATAGCTCAGTGGCGTAAGTGCCTACCTGGCAAGCACAAGGTCATGAGTTCAATTCCTAGTACCATAAATAAAGGGAGTACTTCATTGTTTATTTATTTAACTTTTTTGGGGGGCAAAGCAAGTCCACTGACTTTACATTTCCTTAATTTGTCTAAGGAAGTCTATTTCTCCTTCATTTTTGAAAGATAATTTTTATTGATAGACTTTCATGTTGGTGTGCCGGTGACTTTTCTCTCCTTGCTGAGACAAAATACCTGACACCCAAAATTAGGGAAGAAAGTTTATTTTGCTTACAGTTTTTGGAGGTTTCAGTCCATAATCAGCTGGCTCCAAGGAGGAGTGGCATGTCAGAAGGCAACACTTCAAGGCAGCAGCCAGAGCAAAAAGGAGAAAAAAAGCCTCTTCTCTTTGTATTTTACACAGGCCACACACACACACACACACACACACACGCACGCACGCACGCACGCACGCCCTTCAGGGCAGGTGTAGCGCTCACAAAATCTGCTTCCTCCTCTTGCACAGGATGAGGATATTTACAAAGTGAGAACCTGGGCTCCCTGCTGAATCTCTCAGTTAAACTTTAAACTTCTCAAGTTGACACAATGTATCAACCATGACATTGTGGATTTTTTTCTTTCACCACTTTCTAACTCCACTTTCTACTTAGCTATATGACTTCTGAGGAGATGCTCTGTGTGATTCTAACTGCTGATACTTTAAAAGTAAGATTTTCCCCCACTGAGTTCTAGGATTTTTTCTTTAATTGGTTTTTCAGCAGTTTGAATAAGGTATGCTTAGATATAGGCTTATTTACTACATTTCCTACCTGAAATAACTAATTTGCCTAGGTATAACTTATTTGTTGTAATTTTTTGTTATAATTCCACTTAGAAGGCTTAACATCTGTCATTAATTTTGGAAGACTATTTTTATTGCTTAAATCCTCTACTGCTTTCTGCTGCTCTAGCATTCAGATTACATCTGTCTTATGCATCTTGAGATCTTGGGTTTTCTGCTCCATCTTTTTTACTGTTTTTTTCTTTCTGCATTTCGACTGGAAGAGTTTCCATTGGCAATTTTCTCCCTTCCTTCTGACTGATTTATTTGTCTCTGGTTTTTCCCCCCTTGGCTCTTGAAGTGGTAGTTCAGATTATTGCTTTTAGGATTTTTCTTTATAATGACATTTAGAGTTGTAAAGTTCCCTCACAGCACTTTTTTTTAGCTGTGATACTTTAAATGTTGATACTTTAAATTTTTATTTTCATTCAGTTCAATGTATTTTTATCTGCCTAAGGACTTTCTCTTTGTTGCATTTTAGAAATATATTATTTAGTTTCCAAATGCCTGGAAGTTTTTCTGTTATCTTTATAGTACTGATTTCTAGTTTAATTCTGTTATGGTTAGAAAATACACTGCATGTGATTTCAATTCTTTTTAAACTTGTTGGGATTTTTCTTATGTCTTAGGACACGATCTATCTGTCATCTGTTCCATAGTCACTTGAAAGGGATGTGTATTCTGCTGTTGTGGGAAAGTCTGATTAATATTTACGAGATTTTGTTGGTTGACAGTGCTGTCTGGTTTATATGCTTGTTGCTTTTTCTGTCCAGTTGTTCTATCCATTTTTGACAGCAGGGTATCAAAGCCTTTGACTATAATTGTGGATTTGTGTAATTCTCCTTCGTTTTTATTAGTTTTTGCTGCACATTTTTGCAACTGTATTATTTGATCCATGCATCATTACTGTTACATTTTATTGACAAATTGTCCCTTTGCCACTATACAATGTCCCTCTCTGTCCAGTTTCACTTTACTTAATATTAATACAGCCATCCCAGCTTCAGCTTTTTTTTTTTTTGCTAATGTTTGCACAGTATATCCTTCTCCAAACTGTCACTTTCAACTTGCTTTTGTTATGTTTAAAATGAGTTTCTAATAGATATTATATAATTAGGCCATGTTTATCTCTCTTCAAATTGTCTGTTAATTGGAATATTTAGATAATTTGCATTTGCTGGGGTGATGGATGGTTTGTGACTTAAATATTTGTCTTTATTTTCTGTGCTTTCTCTCTAATTTTTATTCTTGGCTTTCTGTGAGTTACCTGTGGGTTTTTAGAACAGCATTTTGATTTATCTCTGAAGATGTTAAGTGCATCTCTTATTGTACCATCCCTAATGTTTGCTCGAGGCATTACATCACACACACACAACGACACACACACACACACACACTCACACACACACACACACACACACACACACACACACACACACGAGCCTTCTGGTGTTACCCCTCTACCAGTTTGAGCAATACACAGAGCTGTTGTCTCCTTCCCTTTCCTTTACCCTTCCCCATTTATAACATACTTATTGTAAATGCTTCCACATTTAAAATTCATACTTAGAACCATATCAGATGGTGTTGTAATTGTTGCTCCTGAAGCTAAACGTCATTTTGAAGACTCGAGGAAAGGCTACCATTTAGCATGGTTTTGCTTGCCACGCACTGGCTCCTTCCTGTTGTTGCTTCATTCCTTGGACTTTTGATTTCAATAATTTCCTTTAGCCATTCTTTTAGGATAGGTAGGGTAGGTATATAGCCAACAAATTCCCTTAGACTTAGCAATTTCATCTGAAGATATCATAACTTACCCTTCACCCCAGATATATATATATATATAGCAATATCTTATTATATATTATTTTATTAAATTATATGGAGGGGGACTTCTAGGGTAACAGTTCTTTTTCTTTCTGCACTGAAAACTATCGCACCCCTTTCCCCTCATATGCAGTATTTCTTGTAGAAATCTACTATCATTCTAATTTTTATTCATAGGTATAATGTCATTTTCCCTCTGATTTTCAGGTTCTTTTCCTTTGGTTTTCAGAAGTTTATGGTGCATGTTTGCATGCATTTGGGGGTTCACCTATTTGGATCTGCCTGGTTTCTTGAATCTGAAGGTTTATATCTCTTGCCAAATTCAAGAACTTTCTGGCCATTATGTCTTTAGGGACCTTTCCAGGCACACCCCACCTCCCCTTGACTTTCATGGTACCAGTGTTTCATCTTTGTAACAGTCTCATATGTTGCTGGGCTTCTGTTCACTCCTTAACCTTTTTTTCTCTCTGTTGTTTGAACAATTTCTGTTCTGTTGTCATTCCCTCCTCTGTACCCTCCATTCCTCTGTTGATCCCATTCATGGAGTTTTTTTGGTCATTGTGTTTTTCCAAACTTGCATTTGCCCATCTATCTGTTTTTGTTTGTACTTATTATAGTGTGTTCATAATTGCTCAGTGGAGTTGGGTTTTGGTTTGGTTTTGTTTTTACAGAATCTGCTCCTGGTTTTGTTTGCAAGGCCCCAGTCTCCGCTGTGAGTCCGGAGTACACAGGAAAGGAAACCCAGAGAATGCGTCCTCACCACAGTCACTGCCTTGGAGCCCTGCCTGCTCCTCTTCTTTCTGTTCATGTTTCTGCCTTCTGGTGTGTATTTTATATAAAACAGACAGCCACTTTAATTATTCTTACATGACATAGAAAATAGACATCTACTTCATCTCCTCAAAAGTAAAAGAGCCAGTTGCCCATTTTTAAAATTCAGTTTATCTTATTGCTGACTTCTAAGAGTGCTTCATGTTTTCCGGATACAAAATCTTTTGTTGTTGTTACAAAAAATTCTTCTCTCACTCTTGCCCTCACCTTTCTGTTTCCTTAATGTATAATTTGAAGAGTAAATGAATGGTTTTTAATTGTGATGGAATTCAACTGGCAATTTTCAAGTCAATTTAAGACATCTTCCCAACTCCAAGATAACTAAGCTTTTCTTCAGTGTTTTCTGTTGGATGTTCTATCACTGTAGGCTTTACATGAAAGTTTAAATCTGTTTTGTCTTATAACCCTTTACTGTATATTTGTACATGGTATAAGGCTCGCGCTCCTCCCCAGGCACATTCTCCTTCTTCTCACACCATAGAAGACAAAGGACCACAGGCACGAGGTCTGGTCCTGGGCTCTGTTCCCTCCGCCTTCACTGCTGCTTTGATTCCTGCAGCTTTCTAATGATTCTGGAAATCAAGTAGTGAAGTCGTCCCATTTTACTTCAAAATAATTTGGGTTATTTTCGTTCCTTTGCATTTTGATAGATTTTAAAATGATTTTGTCAAAATACCTATAGATTTCATGCACTGAATCTATAGATCAATTTGAGAAGAGCTGATATCCTAATGAGCCTTCCAGTGCACAAACATGGTGTATTTGTCAGCAAGATTTTGCAGTTTTCAGAGCATAGGCCTTCGTGTCTTTTGCCAGTTTTGCCTCCAAGTGTTTTTTCCTTCTTTTGTTCTGTTTATTTCTTCTCAGTCTGTCTTTGCAACCCATAATGACTGCATTCATCAGGGTGAGCTGGTGCATAGTGTACCCCGTTCTAACCCTTTCCCTGCCCTGCCACTCCCCCATCCTTACCCTCTTCCATGTGTTTTCATATACACTGATGTTAAATGTAAGCACTGTCTGTTTTCAAATTTCAATTACGATTGTTACACATATGCCTAAGTATATTAGTATACAGAAATAGCTGATCATTCTGTATTGATATTGTATTCTGCAGCTTTGCTAAACTCATTTATTCTAATGGTGGTTTTAAGATTTCTTAAGCTTGTGTGCATAAGTATGCCATCGGCCAATAAGGACAGTTTATCTCTTTTTCAGGTAAATACATTTTGTATATTTTTCTGGCTTTGTATTGTGGATAAGAACTCCAACAAAATGTTCAATACAAGTGGTGAGAATCAATATCTTTACCTTGTTTATTGTCTCAAGAAGGAGGAAGACCTTACTTTATGAATGGACTTTGGAATCTCTTGCTGCTTGCTTTGTATGGCTGATCATTGCTGCCGGTCTAGAAAACAGACTTACTTGAGTCAATATGAGAAAAATCATGTTCTGTTACTCAAAGGCCAAGTCAGTTCCTAGATGCAAAAGCCCTAGAACAAAGGAGAGGCTAGATAAGCATGAGGAACATGTACTGAGATAACACAAAATATGTACTCAAAAGATTCTTTTCTGCGGTGGCCCATGAACCTAGAGGCCAAGATAACTGTTAAGGAAATGAACACAGTAGAACCATTCAGGAATTACTGGCTGCCAGCTGTGAGCCAGCACCAGTTCTTGGAGACATTCCAGAAGGCACTATGATCTATCGTCAGAATGTAGACTTCTAAAATTTTCTTCCCTTTCCAGTAACTTTTGGATTTGTTAATTAGATGATTTAGAATTAAAAGCAAAAAGACTTCCCCCACGGGATTGCAATAATGTTTATATTGAGCTGAGAGCTGAAAATTCAACATGATTATTTTAGGCTCTTTACCTACAGGATAAACAATCAAAAGAAGAAGAAAAAGGAAGAGGAGGAAGAAGAGGAGATGTTGGTGCCGCAGCTACTGACCCTACATTTCAGGAGACAATGGAGATGCTGGTATGTAACAGGATCATGAGGAACTTCCCGGAGGATCTCTGAAGGAAGCTTCCTACACACACTGTGCTGGTCTCAGTGTAACCTAAACCCAGGCACCTGAGGAGGTGCGGCCCCTTCCTTGTGGCTCCAAGCAACTCCAAGGTGTGTATGCATGGCCCATGCCAGGCTGACCAGAAAATCAACCACTGCCTCTCCCACCTCTCACCTTTAATGAAAGACACTGAAATGACAAAAAGGCCCAGCCTTCTGGCTGCGCTGCCCTGCAGAAAAACCCTCTGACCATCCACTAATATTTACTATCCTAGCTTCCATGTGAGCGAAGTTTCACCAGCCTTAGACTGCACAGGGTGGACTGTTAGATGGAAAACAAATACATGTAATTATTCTTGTAGTCACTGAATTGGAGAGCCTTCGTTACAATCCCAACATGTGTATTAATGGTCAATTAACTCCTGGCTCGATCTCAGAGCCACTTCCAATATATCTGTCCACTCACTGATGTCCACAACCAACCTAGTCATTAGGGTCTTGAATATTTTGGGGTAAACAAACACCACCGTTGGTCTTCACCCACTGCAGGAACTGAGAAGAAACTAAGTGACAGTTCAAAGAAAGCTTCCAGGAGAGAGGGGCAAGGCACAGCCAAGACCAAGGTTGCTGCCAGATTTGTTCTCCGATCTCCTTCCTCCCATGATAACCAGCTGCCCACATTTAGCTGATCACCTCTGGTTACCCAGCTCCCTAAACCCAGGTACATGCTGGTCCTGACCAATGGGAAAAAACACTGTGCTGTCTTCAGAACTGTGCTCTTCCAGGATGGGGCAATGCCCTCCCCTGCTCGGTCTGCAAATCAAATATGGTGTACGAAGTGAATCAGGGGACAGCAGAAAAAACAGCATAGAAACAGTGCGGGTCCCTGGCACCATAAACTGCTCTGAGGAGGAGAAAAATTCTAATTTGAAATACTTTTTATTTGTGGAGTGTCTAATTAGAGTACTGTCTTGGTACTTTTTTTGTTGTTATTGTTATTACAGAGTTTCTAAGGATGGGTGCTTTATGAAGAACAGAGGTTGATTCAGCTCATCACCAGAGATCAGGTAGCCCCGTCATTTCAGTGTCTGCTGGGGGCTTCATGGTGAATGCATCAGGATGGTGGAACCAGGTGCTGCAGAGATCACACGGAACAACGGGACATTAGTGAGGTTTCCCCGTCAGCCTTGCTTTTTGAATAACAACATCCTCTCTTAGAAACTCACCTGGTCAGAGGGAATCACAGTGACCTCATGGAGGGAAAGGTCTGATCAGGTAACCCCCTTGGCCTCACCCCTCTCCATACCCTTGATATGGCCACACCTGAAGGCCAAGCTCCTGAGCCACAAGGCCCACAGGAACCACATCCAAACCTCAGCAAAAGCCAAACCCATGTGCTGTCAGTATATTCGCAAACTGAGACTCAAAACAAATTCAAATACCTGGATTGGGAATCTGGAGGAAGGCTCTAGCTTCAGTAGGGTCACTAGCTTGCTGGGTGACTTGGGTACATCTGTTTTCCCTCTCTGGTTTCAACCTTTATGTCTGTAAATGCAGCCTTGAGAGCCAAGACTAAAATGAGAACTATGCCAGACACAGTGAAGAAGAAAATAGGTAAAATCAAATTGTGCCAGAGGTAAATACATCCTTGGAAATAAATTTGTAAATGCATTTCATAGGAGGAGCCTTGTACCCTCTCTGCCCTCTCCCTTGATGTTCCTCTCCAACATATTTGTGTTTCTGAATAAATACTACACGTCAAATGCCAAAATTCCATCTGCATCCCCCTGCTGAGAAGTCATAGTGCCACGTCTATGACACGGCTCCGTTTCCATGGGGACAATAGTATCGACATAATTCCAGCACTATGACTGCTGGGTGTTTGGGAGACGGGTGAAAGCAAGGAGAAAGCAGTGTACGCACATTTGCTGCTGTTCTAATAACTGACAGCTACAGGAGTGATGCTGCTGAAAATAGCCAGTTGGAACCAGGCAGATGCCCAACAGAGGCTGAGGTCTTTCTTCCTGATTGCAGAAAAGAACACTGACCTCCTGAGCACTTCCTCCTTGATGTTCTTGGATTGCATTGTTTTTCATTTTTGTGTAAGTTTTTAATACAACATAATTTGCATCAGGCAACTGTCAGGCTTTTATCTGCTTTATTTCATTGCCTAAATCTTTCATCTGGGTGGGGACTGCATTAAACTCACCCTGAATAATAGCTTCTAATATTTAAATCCATTACTCAAATTCAATACTGCTGAGAAGCTGTCACTCCTACTCCATCTGCAAATGTGGGTATTTAAATGTAGAGGTTCTCCTGAAATTTTCCACAGCGGGAGAAAAGGAATCCATTTAAATATATACCTTGGACAGTGCAAATTCTGTAAGAGTGAAATTTTAAACAACCCAAGACCTGGAACCCAAGGCCTTCATGCTGAGCTGCATCTCCAGTCTATTTCATATTTTTTATTTTGAGGCAGGATCTCATTAAGTTGCCCGGGCTTGGCTCCAACTTGTAATCCTCCTGCCTCAACCTCCGAGAGTGCTGGGGTTTACTAGTGTGTGTTGCTGTGCCTGGCTAAACAATCTATTTCTTTATAAAGTTGGGATTTTAAAAAAATGTTGCTGATCATAAAAATAATTCATTCTCCCCCCAAAAAAATAAAAATTTAAACAAGCACTGAAGAAGCTACAGTAGAAAGTAGTATATCCAAAATTTATGTCTTATAGAGTCACTATGTTATCTCTTACTTTAGACATTCACATAGGTTGAATGCCATGATTCTACAGCAGGCTGAATTTTTCAAACATGGCCACAACAATATGCCTGCCTTCAGTGCTCTTCCACAAGCATCCCTGGTGCGCTCTCTCTCTCTCTCTCTCTCTCTCTCTCTCTCTCTCTTTTTAAGAGATGTCGTTTCTCCACTTGTCTGAATATGAGGAGGCCTGGTGGGCTTCACAGATTAGACACAGCATCACACAAGATCTGTGCACGGCTCCTAACAACTCAGAGACAAACCATCCAGCAGAGCCCTTTGGAGGGCTGATCTGGTTACACCAGAAGTAGAATAAGTAAGTAACTTTAAACCTCTAAACTCTGGCATTGTTTGTAAGGTTAACAATAGATAACCACAATGTATGCTTTGAACTCTACAATACAACAAATCATCCTCATCCCTTTCAGGGGATCTCAGTATTCTGTTACACACGTTTCCCATGTGCTCAGTAATCTTCCCTAGTAGATTTATTTTTAGACTATTTCCCCTTTCATTATGCTGCAGTAAACATTTCTTTACGTATATTTATATGCATCTGCCTGATTATTTTAAAAAAATAAATTCTTATAATTCCTGTAACTTATAAGTCATATAACTGATCGAAAAGAGAATTCAAATTACATTTTGTTAGCTTTTGTTTACATTTTGATTATATTTCAGAAGGGTACAGATTCATTCTCACACCAGGAGCATTTAAGAGTTTGTAGTTCCACCTTTCATCATCGCAGGATTCCAGCCTTTATGAGCTTCCCAATCTGCTGTGATACGCATTTCCATTATTCATTTCTTATGTTGGCTGAGTTACTTATCTATAAAGAATGAACTGCTTCAGAGCCATCTTACGTTTAGTTTATATAAACAAATACATTTATAAAGATGCACATGATATATACCTATTGTATAGTGTATCTAATGTCTGTCCTTGTTCCTCACCAGTATTTCCATGTCTCCCCTCTTCCACAGGGGCACAAGAGCCACAAATGTCCCTGAACAACTTGAACTTATATATGGCTGTGTTCCTTAATACAAGCATCAACTTCTGTAGAAAAACTTTATTACTGGCATAACCTATGCCACAGCCTCCTCTGCTGTAACCATCATGGAACCGTGGGGCAGGGAGTTTCCACAGCACCTGAGCCGCTGGACAGTCTGTGCCATCACTGAGGAACTGCCCTGGAAAGTGTCCCGGACCCCAGACCTTGGAAACGAGTGCAATTTTTAAAAAGTGTACTAATATTGAGATGCTGCACTGTTAACACGTAAATAACCACCTAACTTTCCGCACCACACGTGGGTCACAGACACACTTGTCAAATGCACAGGGGGCTGACATCAGCTCCACACGTAACCTGAGTCACTTTGGTAGAGGGTTTAACAGTCCTAAGTCTTTCTGTAGTTTTCCCTCATGTTCCTAATAGTACAAACATATATAAAATGTGTGTATGCAAAGTTAGACTTTAGTTTTCGTTTCACAAAAAAGGAGACTTTTTATATTCCTTTCTGCCTCTTGCAGTTCTTAATATGAATGGTAGAATGCAGTCATCTGCTGGAGCCTGACTCATGCGTTTTACTAATGGTTCATGGGAATGAGCAGGAGAATTTATTCAGCCAGTATTCTCTTCACAAGCACCCTCTTTTATCTGATTTTGTGCTATTAGAAACAATGCTGCAATAAGCAATTTAGCGGGTAGATACATTTTCTTTTATTCTATTGGCATGCTCAGAATTTCACTCAATACAGACTCATACATCTAATTTCTTTCACTTCGTATGCTTTTGAGATTCATCCATTATTTTGAGTGTATTCAAAATCTGTTACTTCCTATTACAGAATTCCATAGTGCAGTTAAACAAAAATGTGTTTATCCATTCATCCCTTTTGTCAGTTATAAAGTATCCTGCTGTAAGTTTTTCTGTGCGTGTCTTGTACACATGTTTTTATTTACCTTGGGGAAATATCTAGAAATGAAAACTTCTGAGACATAAGGGATAAAGTTAGAGCTCCGGCAATACTATTTTCTCCAATGACTACCATTTTGCCTTTTCACCAGCCTGACTGCTGTGGTTTATACCAAGAATATGCCCCAAGAGCGTCACCTGCTAGTGGTCAGGCTCATGGAAGGTGAATGGTGGGGAGCTCTAGCTGCCCTGCTCTGAGGAGGTGGGGCCTGGTTAGGAGGTCCCTGGGAAACGACCTGGAGGGTTGTACACCACTGCCACCTCCTCCTCCACCCACTTCTCTCTTCACGAGCAGCTCTTCTCCTCTGAGCCCCTCTGCCACACTGCTCTTGCCCTGGAGCCGGCCCACCCAAATAACCCTCTCCTCCTCTAAGTCGTGGTCTCAGGGATCTACCTCAGAACTGTGGAAACAACGGAGGCGCTCAGCAGTACAAGGCACTGTCAGCATTTTTCAGGGGGGCCATTCCAGCACGCATGTCACGGCAGCCTGCACAGGCACTGAATTGGCACCTGTGATGGAGAGTGATGTTTTATGTGCTTCTTAACCATTCCCATATCTTCACTTGTAAAACATTTGCTCAAATATTTGGTCCTTGTTTTACAAAGGCCTATTTTTATGGGGCTGTTTGACTCCTTGTTCTTCAGTAAACAGTTCTCTGTATACTCTTGGTAGGTTCTTTGATGTATATATATTTTGCACAAATTTTCCTCTCAGTCTATACCTTGCTCTTTTATGGTTTTTTTTTTTTTAGGATTTTGTTTCTTGCTTTTGGTTTTTTGAGATCAGATCTATCTCACTATTTAGTTCCAGCTGGCCTTAAACTCATGCAGCAATCCTCCTGCCTCAGAGTCCTGAGTGCTGGGATTATAGGCTTGCAGCACCGTGCCTGAGTCCCTTTCACATTCTTAACTGTGTTTCTTAAAATCCAAAAGCTTTTAATATGAATGAAGTCCATTTTTATCGGTGCACATTAATAGACATGGTGATGAGATTCATTTTGGGACACTGGTGCATACTCACACCATATGTTCATCATTCCCATCCCGTTACCCTCTCTTCTCTTCCCTCCTCCTGTCCTCTTCCTCTGGTTGGTCCCTACCCCATCTCTAAAGGCTGAATTCTAGCTTCCTGTCATCTCTCACTTACTCGTTTGTTTGCTTGTCCTTAGATTGCTTATGTAGAGAAATTGCTTATGACGTCTGACTTTCTGAAACTGGCTTATTTTGCTTAACAGGAGAATCTCCAGGTCCATTCTTTTTTTGAGAATCACATAGCTTAATTCTTCTTAGTGGCTCAATAATAAGCTTGGTGTATATAGGCTGGATTTTCTTTATTCATTTATCTGTTAATGGATATTTAGGTTATTTCCACAGCTTAGCTAATGTGAATTACTGTAAACATGGGTATCACTTAGTATGCTGTCTCTAATTATTTTTTTTTTTTTGCGAGGGAGAGGGATTCCAGGAATCAAACTCACAACCTCTCACTTTCCAGGCAGGATTGTGCTGCTGAGCTATATCCCCGGCTGCTATCTTTAATTCTTTCAGGAATATTCCAAGGAGTGGTGTAGCTAGGTCAAATGGTGTCTCTTTCTTAGTTTCTAGAGGCAGCTCCACCCCACTTTCCATAGTAGATGTACTGGTGTAGGAGGGTTCTTCCCCCCGCAGCTTTGCCAACATTTACTGTCTTTCATTCAAGTTCATTTTGTCAATTTTTATTTTATTTGTATCCAATTCCTAAGGATGTTTCTCCTACATTTTCTTCCAGAAGTTCTGTAACTTGAGCTCTTATTTAAGTCTATGACTCACTCCGTTAATTTTTTCATGTCATGTGTAGATGTTAGATCATTTTATATACATGAATACATAACGGTTCCAGCACCATTTGCTGAAAAGATTATCCTTCCTCCATTGCCTCCACACCGGACCATCTTTATAAGTGTGAGTCTGTTTCTAACTCAGTATCACTGATCTATATGTATCCTTATTCCAATCCTGATTGCCATAGATTTACAATAAGTTTTTAAATCAGATAGTCTCAATATTCTGAATTGGTTTTTCTTTTTCAAGATTATATTAGCTAGTCCGAATCTATTGCCTTTCTATATAAAGTTTTATGTCCGCTTGTCAGTTTATTCAAAAACCCTGTTGGTTTTCACCTTCTCTGCCCCGAGAGTCTCCTGGAGGCAGGTCCAGAGCTAGGGTGATAGCTGCTAGGGAAGCCCACAGCGCGTGGAGAACGAGGGAACACTCTTCCTCTTGCCTGGAGCAACTAAGTATTTGGACAAATTATATTTTAAAAAACTTCCCAGGACACTGGACATGAGGCAAGGAAGGACGGTGACCCAAGAAAGAGGATAAAAATGAGATGAATCCCACAGTGGTCATAGCTGTGGCCTGCAGAGAATTTCAGGGTGCTGAACAGGGAGAGGAAACCTGGGCAGACCACAGGGATCTCCCAAAGCTGACGAGGAGGAGGAATGGGAGAAGCGAGGGCTTAGGTAACTAAATTCACAGGCCAAGGCGTGAGGGGCAGAGCTGCGCCCAAAGAGAGGGCCGGGGACCCTGGAGCCGCCACACTCTCCTGTGCATGCGTGAGAGACCAAGGTCAAAGGATGCGAGAAGTCCTACATTGGGCCAAACAAGGCTTATTCACACCTCTGGAGCTGAAAACGCCTGCAACTGTAAGGACAGTGAAGAAATTTTTACCCTAGACTAACTTGTGCTCTGCTGCCTCCTCACAAAACTTCAATCAGACCCGAAAGGATCAAATTATTTCCAAGAGACTCAATTGCACACCCAAATAAATCTCAAGTATATTTATAGCCCAAACAAAGAAAATTTAATAAGCACTAGCAGTTCAAAAATACAAAGCCCAAAATTAGGACATATACAATTCTGGAAGAAAAGTCAAAGTGACCCAGAAAATATTTGGCAGTCATCCTCAGAGGACTGACATCTAGACTATACAAAGAACTAAAGGGAAAAAAAAATTAGACCCCCAAAATAAAAGACCCGATCAAACAAGGGGCAACTGAAATGAATAGACACTTTGCAGAAGAAGTACAAATGGCCAAAAATACCCAAAAAGTGCTTCAGCATCTCTGACCACTAGACATATGCAAATGTAAGAAACACTGAGATTCCAGCTTGCCCAAAAAAGAATGGTCATCACTGAGAAATCAGATAAATACTGGAGAGGCTGCAGGGGGAAAGGAAACCTTTTCCATGTTGGGAATGTCAACTAGTACAACTGCTATGAAAATCAGTGTGGAGATTGCTCAAAAAACTGAAACTAAAACTAAGTTATTCCCCTTCTGGGTGTCTTCTTAAAAGAGTTTGAAGGCATTATATTCCAGCAGCGTATGCACACCCATGTTTACAGCGGCATGATTCATAATACCTGAATCTTGGAAACAGCCTATGTGTCAATCAGCTGATGAACCAATAAATAAAACATGGTATTTATGCACAATGGAGTAAAACTCTGCCATAAAGAAGGATATACAGAATCATTCACAGGAAAATGAATGCGCCTTGGTACCACAATGAAATAAATCAGACACACAAGCATAAATATCACACGGTTTGTCTTACACTAGAAATCCAGAATATAAGTAAAGAAGAAATAAAAGATAATAGGAATTAGAAGAATCTTTTTCAAATGGGAAGGGAGTTAAGAGCCAGCTGGAAGAAGCTGGAGAAGAGAGAAAAGGGTGAAAAAGAACTGTAATTTTTAGGGGCATGTACAACTCCTTACAACAGCTGTAATCACATGCAAGGCAAATACATATTGATTAGAAAGTGCAATCTGGAAAAAAATAAAAGATAGCAATAACCCCCCAAAACGGCAAGTATGGTGGGATAAGTAGATTTGAAGCAAGGCACATATTTTAAGGGAGATTATATCAATGTGTCTCTTACCATAATGTTAAAAATTTAAACATTAACATATCAAAACATATTTTTCAATCACATCACATACATTTAGCCTCCATTACATATATTGATAGTTTCTTGAAAAAGAATCTACTCAAATCCTGCTTGACCTAACCTTTTGATGCTCTACATTTACAGATAAACATTATCAAAAGATAGTTGTTAATCTTTCTCCTAATATTCATACCAGTTTTATTTCATGATTTGTACTGGTGTCCTTTTTAGAGAATTAAGCATGAATCCTGGCTGTACCAGTCAGGGCCCCTTTGTCAAAGATGAAGTAGTTGTATGTACCTGAAGTGGTTTCTGCATCCATGGTTCTGTTCCATGATCCTCATGTCAGTTTTTGTGCAGTGCCTTGCTGTTTTTATCACTGTTTCTTTGTAGAATAACTTCAAGACTTGGATTTGTGATGCCTCTTCCTTTCTCTTTTTATCCAGAATTGCTTTTGCTTATTTGGGTCTCTTCTGGTTCCATCTGCATTTTAGGATTATTTTCTCCAGTTCTTTGAAGGAGGCTTTTGGAATTTTGATTGGGACTGTGTTAAATTTCCATATGAATTTATAAGTATGACAATTTGTACTATATATTTTTTCTGCCTATCCAGAAATGAGTTTACCTTTCCATTTTCTTTTTTATGAAAATATATTCAATTATTTTTAAATTTCTTATTTTATTTGTACATTGTGGGAAACCCTGCAATTGGCCATCATCTTATGTTAATAAGACAACGGCCATCTTAATGTTAAGTTTCTATTTGGTAGTTAAGTTTCCCTCTCTCCTCACCTAGCCTGTCACATGTCCCTGTGGTTCAGCCCGTACAGCGATTTTGCTAATTAGCCCACCTTATGACCCCGCCCACAGGAGATTCGAAGTACCCTATAGCCTCCGGTTGCTAGAACTTCCCGCTGTTGCTAAGTTACCTGCTGACGTCAGAACCCAACTCCCTCCTTCCCCAATACCCTATATATTTGCTACTCCTTCTTTGAATAAATGAGACTTGATCAGAGCTCTGTCTTGTCCCAAATCCCCACTCCCCCTCTAGGGTCTCTGTTGACTTACCCGCGGGTCAGGACAAGTGGCACCCCAATGTGGGACCTGAGAATGAGGGATCCAGTGAGGGACGCTGTTCGAGAGGCTGGCACAAAAACAGGATGGAGAAAATTCCGAGAACAGAGGAAAAGACTACACGGGAGCCTGCTGCATTTTCTGAACAGCAATTACGGGACAAGAAATGAGCCAGCATGAGATTTTTGTTGAAAGGCTTAGGAAAGGCTTTAAAGGCACGAGGAGTAAAGGTTAAAATTAAGCAATTATGTCAATATTTTGATTTTATAAAGCAAGTTTGTCCTTGGTTTCCTATTGAAGGGACAATCGATTCCAAATGATGGAAAACGGCTTGTTCCACACTTAGAGATTATTATGACGTTTTTGGACCTGAAAAGGTCCCGGTAACTGCCTTTTCGTACTGAGGTTTAATAGATGAAATCTTATCTCAGAGACAAAGTGATCTGGTGATTGCTAATGTTGTTCAAAAGGGTGGGGAAAAAAGGGGAAAAATATATTACAAGGAGAAAATCTTAAAGGCAAAACTGAGCAAACTGAAGGGACCGAGAGACTGAACAAAGAGGAGAACCTTGTGTCCTTTGATAGTGATAATGATGGGGTAAATGGTGCCTTGGAGAACAAAGACAAAGGGAAACAGACAAGACTGATATGCCTCCAAGGCAAAAACCCAGTCTCTATGACCTAGAGGGAGCCCAGCCAAAAAGCAAACTTTACCCTGAGCTACCTTTAGAGGCTAAAATAGAGGATAATGATGTGGGTTGGGCTAGTTTAGCAGAAGAGACTGCAAAATACCATAGTCATAATTGACCAGTTAATGTCCAACCCCCTCAAGGCTTAGCACACTGCAGCACCGCCCCGCCCCAGGTGGCCTGCGCAGACAAAGCCCTCAGCGCAGCCATGCACCCTCCTCCATACTGTAAGACTTACCACCCCTGCTTCAGCGTGTCCAGCTTTGGACCCTAGAAAACAAGAGACAAGATTGAGCTTTTAAAAGAGCAGATTGCATTAGAAAAAGAACATCAGAAGTTAATAGCCCAATTAGAAAGGCTAAAAATAGGTCTAAAACGGAAAATGAAACCCCGGAATTTCTTCCAGGAGTTCTCCCATTCAGCGACCCCCTCCCCCCCAGGGGCATGATTTCTAATTTTACCCTCTGGGTCTAATTTTGACCCTGTTTCAGAGCTGGATGCTTTCCCTGTGACAGAAACAAGGAACGCAGAAGACCAGCCTGTCCACACCTACACCAGTTTCAATCTCAAACAGTTAAGAGAGTTAAGAGCAGTGTGGCACAGTATGGGCCCACTGCCCCATATACTCTTGCTGTCTTGGATTCTTTGGCCGACAAGTGGCTTATACCTATAGATTGGCAAGGATTGGCCTGAGCAACCTTATCGGGAGGGGACCATCTTTTGTGGAAATCAGAATATACAGAGAATTGCAATGATACCGCCAGGCGCAATACAAAGCTGGCAATGGGCAGAGCTTTGATACGCTAACAGGAGACGGTGCCTATGTAGATAAAGATGCCCAAAAGCCTTCGGGTCCAGCGCTCTTCACTCAAATTCAAATGGCAGCTACTGGAGCGTGGAGAAGGCTTCCTTCAAAGGGCAATGTGAGCTCCACTCTCACAAGCATTAAGCAAGGGCCCAATGAACCTTTCTCAGAATTTGTCGATCATTTGATTACCGCCACTGGCAGAATATTTGGCCATGCTGATGTAGGCAAAGATTTTGTCAAAGCAATTAGCTTTTGAAAATGCTAATGCTGCCTGTCAGGCCGCTATTAGGCCTCATAAAAAGAAAACAGACTTGACAGAATATATTCGCCTTTGCTCTGACAGTGGAAGTGCTTACCAACAAGGCCTCGCTATGGCTGCTGCCTTGCAAGGATTTACCGTTAAACACTTCTTACATCAAAAATTAAACAAAAATGTTTTACCTGTGGAGAAACTGGTCATTTTGCAAAGAACTGCAAAAAAGACTCCAAAAATAGAGATTCCAATGTCAATGCAAGAGCCAAAGCACCAGGATGATGCCCTAGATGTAAGAGAGGGTACCACCGGGCTAATGAATGCAAATCCAAAAGGATGTTACAGAAAAGAGCTGCCCCCACTACAGGAAAACGGGAATCAGGGCCATCCCAGGCCCCCAAACCCAAAAGAATCTTTGGGACAGTCAACTTTGTTCCAGCAAACAGCAATCCATCTCAGACCTCTCTAGAGCCACAACAGGGAGTGCAGGATTGGACCTCAGTTCCACCACCCACACAGGATTAACCCCTGAGATGGGGGTCCAGGCCCTCCCAACAGGAATTTTTGGGCCCTTACCAAAGAATACATTTGGCCTTATAATAGGATGCAGGAGCACAACACTTAATGGGCTATAGGTTTTTGCAGGCATAATTGATAATGATTATTCTGGAGAAATAAAGGTCATGGCATCCTCACCTAACTACATTACTACTATCACTTGTGGACAAAAGTTCGCTCAGTTACTACTCTTGCCTATAATTCAAACCCCTAATAAAATAATCTCCCAACAACAAGTTGATAAAGAATCTGGATCTTCAGATGTCTATTGGGCAGAAGCAATTTCCACTCAGAAACCCCTTATGTCATTATGGCTGGATGGTAAAGAATTCTCTGGCCTTATAGATACAGGTGCAGATGCTATTGTTAAAAAGGAAGACTGGTCTCCGACCTGGCCCTTAGATATTACTTTGACTCATTTAAAAGGCATAGGTCAAAGCCAAAACCCAGAGGGAAGTTCAAAACTCCTGACTTGGAAGGACAGAAAGGGCAGTCAAGGCACAATACAACCCTATGTCATAGCTGGATTACCAATACATTTTGGGGGTAGAGATCTACTGCACAAATGGGGTTAATTATGGGTATCCCAAATACCATTGTCACTGTCAAATGTTAAATAGTGGATATTCACCTGGTATGGGCCTTGGAAAAAATAATACAGGAATGACAGAGCCCATAGAGACTGTACCAAAGACAGACTGAGCCAGTTTGGGCCATTTTCCATAGGGGCCATTGACTCTCCTGTGATCCATACAGAGAAAATTGCATGGCTGTCAGAGGAGCCTGTATGGGTCGATCAATGGCCTCTCACCTCTGAAAAGTTAGTGGCTGTGCAACATCTGGTGCAGGAACAGCTTGAAGCAAGCCATATAGTTCCTAGTAATTCCCCATGGAATACTCCCATCTTTGTCATTAAAAAGAAATCAGGGAAATGGCGATTGCTACAATATCTTAGAGTGGTAAACAGGACTATGGTCTCGATGGGAGCCTTACAGCCAGGCCTCCTTTCACCTGTTGCTATACCTTTGGGCTGTTTTTAAATTGTCATAGTTCTCAAGGATTGCTTTTTTACTAACCCTCTGCATCCAGATGATCAAAAATGTTTCACTTTTAGTTTACCAGTTATTAATTTTAGAGCATCTATGCAAAGATTCCAATGGCGAGTCCTACCACAAGGCATGGCAAATAGTCCTGCCCTATGCCAGTCTTTTGTTGCTTCAGCAATACAGTCTATAAGAGACCACTGGCCAGAAATATATCTCACTTATTATATGGATGACATCTTGATAGCTGGAAAAAATGGGGAAAGAGTTTTAAGATGCTATGATGCATTACTGGCTGCCTAACAGGATAAAGGACTTGAGATAGCCCCCGATAAAGTTCAACTCACCAATGCATACACATATTTGGGTTTTCAAATGAGGGGACCTCAGATTTCTTCTCAAAAGATACAGTTGAGACTAGATAAACTTCAGACTTTAAATGATTTCAAAAACTTCTTGGGGATATTAATTGGCCCATGCCCTACTTAAAAATTAGTAAGAGTGGGTTAAAACCCCTCTATGATATCTTACATGATAATCCTGACCCTACATCCCCTCACAAACTCTCTCCAGAAGGAAAGCAAGCAAAATACATACTGTTGATCAGGCCATTCAATCCCAGACCATTACCTTTATAGATTATGGTAGACCTTTGAAATTTATCATTTGCAAGACTATGCTCTCTCCAACTGCTATCTTCTGGCAGACAGCACCATTAATGTGGGTTCATTTGCCAGTAACACCTAAAAAGGTCATTGAACCCTATTATCAGGCTATATGTACCCTCATTCTCTTGGGAAGAGAACAAGGAAAATGTTATTTTAGTAAGGAGCCAGATATTTTCATACTGCCTTATACCAAAGAACAGATTGATTGGCTCATGCAAACAACTGAATTCTGGCCCATTGCCCTTGCCTCCTACACAGGGCTCATAGACAACCAATATCCCCCAGACAAGATTATTAAATTTGTCAAATAGGTATTCATTTATCTTCCCTATGGTCATGTCATTCAAACCAATGCTTTATTAGTATTTACTGATGGCTCCTCAACTGGCTTAGCAGCCTATGTTTTTTCAAAACCAAACTATATCCTTCCAAACAAACAGTATATCAGCCCAGATCACAGAGTTGCTTGCTGTCACTGCATCCCTTTCCACATTTCCCAATCAGCCCATAAATTTATGTACTGACAGCACTTATATCGCACACTCTGTGCCCCTGCTAGAAACAGCTGGTCAAATCAAAAGTGCCTCCAACACTGGAGATCTGTTTAGGCAAATACAGATGCTTATTATAAAAAGGACTTGCCCTTTTTTTATCAGACATCTACATGCTCACTCTGGGTTACCAGGACCTCTGGCCAATGGTGATTATGCAGCAGACCTGGCCACTCGATCACAAGCTTTCCCTTGTACTTTAACTAATGTTAGCTCCAATGATCACAATGACAATGTTACTTCAGCACAAAAGTGTCATCAATTACACGATCTCAATGCCCACACCCTCTGGCTTATGCACAAGATCACTAGAGAACAAGTCAGACAGATAGTAAAAAATTGCCCCTCGTGTGCCACACACCTCCCAGTTCCACACCTTGGAGTTAATCCCAGAGGACTAATCCGCAATGCATTATGGCAAATGGATGTCACCCACATTCCTGAGTTTGGCAACCTTAAATTAGTTCATGTAACTATAGATACCTTTAGTGGTTTCATTTATGTCTCTCCCCAGACTGGCAAAGCCACCAAACATGTGGTTTGCCATATGTTTACTACCTTATCAGGTTTGGGATGCCCAAAGCAATTAAAAACTGATAATGGCTCAGGCTATGCCTGTTCTGCTTTTGCCCATTTCTGTCAACATCTTAATAGTCATCATATAAAAGGCATACCTTATAACCCTTAAGGTCAAGTCATAGTCGAAAGGGCACATCTCTCCCTAAAACTCACGATTGATAAAATAAAAAAGGGGGGATGGTACCTCACAAGGGGTCACCTAAAAATACTCTATCTCATGTCTTATTCATCCTTAATTTTTAAAATCTGGATGCCACTGGACAATCAGCAGCCACCCATTTTTGGCATACAGAAACACAAAAGCAATTTGCTTCTGTACTATGGAGAGACCCCTTGACTAACTCATGGCATGGTCCAGACCAGTCCTTATCTGGGGACGAGGATCAGTATGCATATACTCTAAAGAGATGAAATCTGCAAGATGGTTCCCAGAATGATTGGTTAAACAAAGAGATCAAGTGCAACAAATAGAAGATAATGTTATGGATGACACCAGGAATAATAATGCCCCCTGAGAGATTTTTCCCATCTCTTGTTTTTCAGATGATGGAATTGAAAATCTGGATCCTACCACTGGGAATTTTGATGGCCCTACTGCTGACCTTGCATGGTGGCTTTGGACCTCCTATAAGCAAAGAACAACTACTAAAGCAATTGTATGGTAACCCCTGTGATTGCAGAGGAGGTTTTACCTGTGATAAATATAACAAAGGCCTTGTCTGTTGCATGTTGCAGGAGGCCCAGGCCAATCTTATGGCACACAAGTACTCAATTACAAAGTATACATATACACTCAGACAGATTGTGGAGACAAGATAGCATACCTTACTGCTCACCCAACTGTCACAGGTGGAATGAGCCAAAGTTGAAGGTACTATGTCAAACCTTGCATGATATCCAGTGTCAATGGCCAACCGGGGTTGTGCCCCCAAAAAATGTCCTTACAAAATGGAAATGCATTCTTCCTGCTATGACTCAGTACAGGAGTACATGGGAAAAGACAATAAGACTTATTTCACTGCCATATTTCAGAGACCTAATGCTGGAAGTTTTGAGGGTGAGGGGTCCGGCATCCCACAGGTCCTTGGAAATTCAAAGTATGCCCAGGCCTCATGCAGCAGCACAATTGGTAGCCCAGAGTGCTGGAGCAAGGTAGCCCCATTACACATTTCAGATGATGGCAGACCCCAAGACAAGGTTAGAGAACTTCAAGTACAAAACAATATAGAGCAAACTATAGAACAAATGTTCCCCAAGATAAATTATCATCCCCTGGCTCTCCTCAAGTTGAGAGGTGTAAATCTAGATACCCAGACCTTAGATATCTAAGAAGCCACTTATATAGCCCTTAAAGTTTCTAACCCTGATTTGGCTAAAGACTGTTGGCTGTGTGTGGCCTACCCCATATAGCTTTGCAAATCTTAATTGTAGTGTCAGCGTCCCATTTAGAGTGGAGCCTGTAGGTTTCGGAGATTCCCCCTTCCTCCAGGGAAGTTTTCATAACGATACCTCTGACATTGATGCTGGGTTTGTCACCTTCACTAATTGCAGTTCTATAATTAACTGGACTACCCCTCTTTGTCCAACTAAGGGACAAGTATTTGTCTGTGGAGGAAAGATGGCTTTCACATTTCTGCCTGCCAATTTGGAAGGGTTGTGTGTCATGGCTACCCTAGTACCTGACATAGATGTTATATCTGGAGATGAGCCTGTTCCCATTCCCAGTCTTGATTACAGTGTAGGTCATACTAAGAGAGCAGTGCAGTTTATTCCCCTGATGGTAGGACTAGGGATTTCAGGAACCCTGGCGACAGGTACTACGGAACTAGGAGTCACAGTGCATTCTCACAACAAGCTTTCCAATCAGCTTATTGATGATGTTCAGGCATTGTCTAGTTCTATTCAGGACATCCAAGATCAAATAGATTCATTAGCTGAGGTAGTTCTTCAAAACAGAAGAGGGTTAGACCTCCTAATGGCAGAGCAGGGAGGCATCTGTTTGGCATTACAGGAATGCTGCTGCTTCTATGTGAACAAGTCCAGCATTGTTCAAGACAAAATTAAGAGACTACAAGAAGACCTAGTAAAAAGAAGAAGAGAGCCATTTGAAAGCCCTCTCTGGAGTAGCTGGAATGGAATCCTGCCTTATCTTCTTCCCTTGCTTGGACCATTACTTGGACTCTTAATTTTATTTTCATTAGGCCCTTTCCTTTTTAATAAATTGATGGCTTTTGTCAAACAACAGGTGGATACCATAAAAATGCAACCTATGCAGATCCATTACCACAGGCTTGAAATGGCTGATAGAGATAATTACACGGAGCCTGCAAAACAGTATTATGATAATGCTTTGTGAAAGCATGCTGTCTGCTCCATTTCTCTTACTTTGGTGTGATAGACTGGATAGCCAGAGATGGGCAACTGGACCTTACACGCACTAACCAATTGCCACCTAAGACAGGAGCTGGGCATGTTGCTGCCCTGCCTCCAGTGACAGGTATGGCAGAATTGGACCCATGTGAAAGAATTCTGACCCAAGACAGGCACAGTCTCCTCAAGGATGCAGCTTCTTATAAGCCTCTTAAATTTTAAAGGGGGGACCTGTGGGAAACCCCGCAATTGGCCATCTTCTTATGTTAATAAGACAACAGCCATCTCAATGTTAAGTTTCTATTTGGTAGTTAAGTTTCCCTCTCTCCTCACCTAGCCTGTCACATGTCCCAGTGGTCCAGCCAGTACAGCAATTATGCTAATTATCCCACCTTATGAGCCCACCCATGGGAGATTTGAATTACCCTATAGCCTCCGGTCTCGCTAGAACTTCCCGCTGTTGCTAAGTTACCAGCTGATGTGTCAGAATCCAACTCCCTCCTCCCCCAATACCTTATATATTTGCTACTCCTTTGAATAAATGAGACTTGATCAGAGCTTCGTCTTGTCTCCATTCCTCATGTCTCTTGTCTATCCCAAATCCCCACTTCCTCTCTAGGATCTCTGTTGACTTACCCATGGGTCAGGACAGTACATGTTTGTAGTTCATGTAGTTTATAATCATCTTAGGAAATGGTTACATGTAGTTTGCAATCATCTTAGGACATGGTTACATGTACATATTACAGCATATTTCTTTTTAAAAATTCTCTCCCTCCCTCTCCCTCCAGTTCCCTATCCTATTTTTTCATTCTTGTTCATATTATTTGTCTTAGTTCATGCTGTGGCATATAATGTTATATTAATTGGGTTACTATGTTCCTGTACATGGCTTATCTTAATTTTTCTCACTTCCCCTTCCTTGTCATCCTTGGTTCCTTAGACCACTGCCTCCATTTCTGTTCATGTCTAGTCTTTTTGTTTGTATTTTGCCCCACTCAGATAAGAGATACTGTATGGTATTTTAGCGTGTGTGTGTGTGTGTGTGTGTGTGTGTGTGTGTGTGTGTGTCTGGTTAGTTCACTCATTCCATTTCCCAGTTCTGACAACATGATCCTTTTGACAATATTGGTTCTGCCTATCCAGGAGCAGGGGACAGCTCTCCATTTCCTGACGTACTCTTCAATCTCCTTTTTCAGAGTACCATATTTTTCTTTGTAGAGGTTTTTCACTTCTCAGCTAATTACTAGGTATTTCATTTTCCTTAAAGTTACTGTGAATGATATTATCTTCATAGTTTCCTTCTTATCTTACTCATTATTGGTATACGCAAATGCTAATGATTTTCATGTGTTGATCTTGTATCTTGCTACTTTACTGGAGTTGCTTATTAATTCTAAGACTTTTTGCTTGAATTCTTCAGGGCTTTTATGTAAAGTATCATCTGTATGACAATCTGTATGATAACCCAATCTGTATGATAATATAAGTTCTTCCTTTTATATGTATGCCCCCTTTTTACTTGCTTAATTATTCTAGCTAATGTTTCACATACTATGTTGAATAGAAGAGGTGATGGTGGACATCCTTTTTCCTGATTTGGAGGATACTTTTAGTTTTTCACCAGTTAGTATAATGCTGGCTATTTGTTTGTCACAAATAGCCTTTGTAGACTTCCGGGAGAACATGGCAGATAGATAACAGCAACTACCGGAGGCTCTCTGAAAGGCTCAGCTGAGAAATCAGGAATGATGCGGACTAAGGAGACATTAGCCAGTAGAGATATGCTCTGCTGACTCAGGAACGAACTGGGCTGAGAGAAACCAACTTGGAATGCAGTCCTGGTGCTAAAATAGGAACAGAAAAGTCTCAGTGTGGAGGCTGGACCCCGTGCCATTTGAAACTGCGGTTTGGGTTTCCCGCCGCTCGGCGGCTGGCTGCCTCCACAGCGGCTCAGCAAGGAGAGATGCACAGAAGCTCTGGGAATGGGAGTCTGTGAACGGAGTCAAAAACAGGATGGACAAGGAGGCGTACACTGACTGGTGGCGAGGTGAGTGAGAGAAACTGACACTCCACCACAGTTTGACTCCAGCGGAGGACTTTCTGGGCTCAGGCAGTCCTGTAAGAGCAGGGCACGGTGGCGACTCCAGCCACACATTCCCCTCTCGGATGGGATTGGTGAAAAGTGCCTGGCCTGCGTGACGCTGCGGGCAGACTTGGTAGGCTGGCCTAACCCAGATCCCAGAGCCTGACGGTGGCCCGGAGGGGTGACTCCCGCGTAGGCTGCCTAGTCCGTAACTCCCTGGTGCGCAGCGGTGGGCAGGAACACCTAGCCAGCGCAATTTGATCAGGCTGTGGCTGACAGGCAGGGAAGCTGGGCCTCCTATGTAAGCTTGCATTTTATAAGGAACGGAGAAAATGGGGAAGGGAAGCAACAAGAAAGGCTCCTCGGCCCCCAATTCTGAGAAACAGGCAATAGCGGACACCACACCAATAGACATTAAGCGCCATATAGAGAGCCTCATAGACCAATTCAGGAATGAAGTTATCAACGACCTGAAGCTAGAAGTATGCAGAATAGTTAGAGAAATGCTAAGCACCACCCAGGAAAAAACAGATGGTGGAATGGAAGAACAGAAAAAGAGGGGAGAATTGTTTGATGGAGAAAACAGAGAAAGCATAGAGTACATGAAGCAGGTTCAAAGGGACTATCAAGAAATTAAGAAGTCTATCCAAGACTGGCATAACAGCTTGAAAGAAACTAAGGACAGACTATCTGGGCTGGAGGGCAGACTTGTAATATGGGAGAATGAAATGAAAAACTTCTTAAAAATAACAAAGAAACAAACAGCAATAATACAAAGACAAGAAGATGATAAGAGGAGCCATAACTTAAGGATTAAGAACATAAAAGAAGAAGTAGGGACATAAACAAGTGAACTACAAAAGCTACTCACAGAAATAATCCAGGAGAATTTTCCTAATTTAGCAAAAGGTAAAGATACTCAGATGTATGAGGCATACAGGACCCCAGCTACCTACAACCCTAACAGAGAAACACACAGGCATATAATAATAAAAATTCCAGAAATTCAATACAAGAACAGAATATTAAAAGCTGTAAGAGACAAGAAACAGACCACTTACAAGGGAACACCCATCAGAATTACAGCAGATTTCTCTGCACAAACCATCAAATCACGAAGAGCATGGGGGGAAATAATTCAAGCTTTGAAAGATAATAATCTTCAGCCAAGATTGAGATATCCTGCACAACTGTCCCTGGAAATTGATGGAAAAACAAGGTGCTTTCAGGATAAAGAGGAACTGGGGGAATTTGCAACCACCAATTCAACCCTACAGAAAGTATTGCAGGATATTCTAAAAAAAGAAAAATACAAAGAACCCAGAAATGGTGGCGGGGAGGCCACAACGAATGGAGCAGAGAACAAAATGAAGAAGACAAACTGACAGCTACTGACAGAAAAAGAGCTCAACAGAAATGAGACAGAGAAGATTGGATGATAGGAACAGCTATTTTAGAGAAAATGACATCTTAATAGGTAATACTGATTTAGTATCATCTTGTTTTGAAGTCTCATCTAGCTTTTGTTCTTCTGTCTCCAATGGTCTAAACAGGTTGTATCTTATTGGATTTTATTATGTATGATAGTATAAGCAAAAACCTTTTAAAGACAAGGAGATTATACAGAAACCATTGTTCATTTTCTGTTAGTCGATTCTAAATACTCTGTAATGCTGTCATTCTCTTAAATGGTTTTACATTGTTTTGATATACTTAATGCTACAGTATATGAAGTTGTACTCAAGGACTTCAAGGAAAGAGTCAATATGGTAACTACTTTTAGGTCGGAATTATCTGGTGGTGAAACACTATTCTGCTTAAATGGTTATGTTTTGATCTGCGCTGTTTTGCTGTTATGCCCTCTTTTTTCTCAATCTCCACTCCATTATTTACTTTTTTATTTTTATCCGTTTAATTAAAGGGAAAAAAATAGCAGGATATAATATAGTAACCCACTTTGACTTTCTATTATCTCGATTTGAAGCCCTGTATTACTCTCACCATCTTGTTTTTGACTGATGTTCCCCTATTCTGTTTTGATGGATAGTATCGGGTTCGAAAGTTTAGGCATCAGCTGAGAAGATAATGAGATTCATTATAACGCCCATTCTCATTGACTTTTATCTACTTTTGAAGACCTACAATGTCTCCAATGTTTTGGTTTTGTCAGTTTTGTTCTTTACTATTTTGTTCAATTGTATTACAACTAATGATATAGGCAATTCTATTAGAGATAGCGGGAGGCATTATGGTAACCACTGATGATCACCTTGTATTATGTTTTTATATTATCTATTATGTCCACCCTTTTGACTTGACCGATTCTGTCCTGTTATGTCTCATTTGGTTTTACTCTCTTCCAAAAAAGCAATAAGAACCGTGGAAGCAATGAAACCCAAAATGTGTAATAGTCATTGTACAAAAGAGAGGAAAAGAAAGTGCTCTAAACTATATAACTGCATGTATATTTAAGTGTATAAGATAGAAAATGATATCACAGAGTTTTATTGGATCATTGAACAAAACTGTTTGCAGTATCATTGTTGGAATGTCCACTCTACAAGCTTTAATTTTGTGACTTGAACAATTATTTTTAAGATGGCAATATGTAATCCATTAACTAGTGATTTCTTACTGTTCATTTTTTTCTTCTGTAAATCTGTATAACTTGTACCCTTTCACTTTCTTTTTTTTTCTTTTCTCCTTAATTAAAAAAAAAAAGAAAAAAAAACAAATAGCCTTTGTAGTATTCAGGTATGGTGCCTGTATACCTGTTTTCTAGTGATTTTTTTAAATCAGGAAGGTGTGTTGGATTTTTGTCAAAAAGCTTTTGTGTCTCTTTTGATATGATCATATAGTTTTTGACCTTGCTCCTGTTTATGTGATGTGTTACATTTATT